CCCACGATACGTCCCTGAACCGTGCTGCAGTCTAGAAGGCCCACCAGAACTTTAAAGCAAAACATAATAAGTATTTTGTCCCTTCTGACAGACACAGATGAAAAAGAAAGCAAATGTAACCTCTCTTCAAAGCTCGATATTGTTTAAGAGTAAGACGAGTTGCTCTTCTGTGGACTCCCTCAAGTAGATCTGAGTTTTAGTCCATGAAAACCAGGCGGGTTGAGCATACTCCAGGCAATGCAAGGCTTTTGTAGAGAGACAAAAATGCACTGGTCGAAGCATGTCCAGCCACGCTCCAAATAAAACCAAGCATATGCTTACCTTTGGAAACAATGGCATGGACATGATCCTCCCAGGTCAATTTTGAGTTGAAAGTAACACCAAGGTATTTAATGGTGGTCACCGGACTAATAAGAGAGCCAGACAAGAAATAGGAAGACAATTGTTTATTACGTAAGCGTGTGGTATGTCGAACATTTGTCTTCAGAACGTTGAAAGGCATGCGGTTTACTTCAATTCACAGAGTATGTTGGACAAGATCTGCTTGAAGGTTGAGAGATTCTTGAGGAGAGGTTATAGGACAGCAAAAATAGTAGCTTTTACATTTAAGCGAACAAGGAATGTCATTGTAATTAATAATAATAATAATAATAGTAACAATAATAATAAATAATAAATATTATTATTATTATTATAAAAATAATAAAAACAATACTAAAAATAAAAATAACACTAATAAATAATAATAAATAACTTGTTCTCCTGTAGGACCTAAACCCACGATCTCCAGATCACTAGCCTGGCATCATACCTCCAGAACACCACCGAGCTTGCGCCTGATGGCCAGGGTTGAATTCGAGTCCAAGTAAGCAGCGGGTACTGCAATAATGTTGATAGTAATTGTTACTGTCGTGATCGAATAGACAATAACTGGATTTGCGTCAGGAAAATCAAGTATAGGTGTAATTTTGCCCCACCTGACGTGGAAATATACTAAATACTTTAGTACGTGTGAAAACAATTGCGAAAAAAATCAGTTTACTTTGCTATTACGCAACCAACACAACATTGAGTTGTCTCGGAATTAGGACAGTAACGATAATGATAATTAAAATTGATAAAGTGTAATTAGTGGTATGATACAGTATAATAAAAATATTTATTTGGAAAAACGATTTTTAATAGCGGCACACATCACATCAATTAGGGAGAATAGCAAACACTCCCCCTGCTGTTCAGACTTACAAGTAAATAATTTAATAATTTATGATAAGATGGGCCTACTTCCGCTTTGGACCATCACCTGATTGTTAATTTGTATTGTGTAGTGTGTTGACTTCATTCATCAGTAGTTTTAATATGATCAATTATTATATATAATTTAAGCTTTTAATTTACATGTTTCGTCGTGTCACATCATCATGTAAAGCCATTCATGTGTTGACACACGGGTCCCTTTTTGGTTTCGACATCATTCATAACCACGAGATAAGGAAACATTTAGTATTCTTCATAAACTCGAGATAAGGAAACACTTCATTTCCTTCATAAGCAAGAGATAAATTTGGTTTCGATTCAATTGAAGATCACATTGCAGATTAGCAAAATGTTGGGGAAAAGCGTAGCCCTAGTATTGCTATTCTTCGTCCATAATATTGCCTTTTCAGAACAAGGCGGGACATGCAAAATTCAATCATTGAAGTCTATTCCTGGACCAAGTCAACAGATAGACAAATACCAAACGAGTTCTGGTAACAAATCTTTGGACATAAAATCGTGCGGTAAGAATTTTGAAAGTTTATAACCATATTTTTAATAATGCTTATTTAATTGATCAACTATCTTCACCTGGTTACTCAAAAAATCGATCAATTCACCATCATTAATTTATTAATATTATCTGACTTTTTGGTTATGTTGGTATTCAAATGTTTTTCAACAGTACATGTACCGGTATGTCGGTACAACAGACAGACCACTATGTATCTTCTTTAAGTTTCATTCATCTTATTACACCCCATTAACCCACCCCCATCCCCCTCTTAAAAAATCTATTCTTGGCGACCATTATGTATTTCCTATTTCCTTTAATAAATGTATTATATATACTTCAACTAAACTATACATTTTTTAATCGATTTAGGCCCACCTGGAACTCCTGACATAATATATAAAGTGAAACCTGAGAAGATCACAGCAAAGAGCCGTTCTGTAGAAATAGAGCTTACGGTTATGCTACGTAAGTAGCCGTTATTATTTTCATTCATAAATCATCGTTTTTTAAAGCTCTGTCCACGTAAAATTTTATTTGACTAAAAAATGTATGTATGCCCATATATAGTCATGATGTGCCTATATATGGTCATGATGTGCCTATATATAGTCATGATGTGACTATATATGGTCATAATGTGATGTCATATTGATCATATTTAGGATTTAGGTTTTTGTCAAATACAAATTGATAGTCTGGACAGGGCCTAAGAAAAAGCGTCCACCAACTAGGCATAAGGTTTGCGATTTATAAAGTCCACTGTTGATAGTCACCATTATGATCGCTAATCATAATTTAAGTTTTATTTGATTACTGTATCATCTTCCGTATTTTTTTAAATAAGAAAACAACCCCATCAAATAAATAATAAAACGTCTGGGCATTTACCTATATTATGTTTCAACTCTATTCAAAAATTGCATTTAAACAAAGTCCTACAATTTTAGTTTTCAATCTTGTGACAGATTAGTATGTTATTGTTGCAATTATTCTCTTAACCGAATTAAAAATTGAAAAATAAATGTAATGATAAAAAATGAATATATCCAATGGGTTAGGGAGTGGTCCAATGGGCGAAGTCACCGGAAACTCCGACAATCTAGGGTCTTCAAATGGTTATTTTATTTGTTTTAGGGACTCATTACGTTTTTTTTTTCTTCCCTGCGAATTGGGTTTCACTCCCTTGCCCTCCATCCCCACTGTTGCCAACACTGTTAAACACTACAATATTTTCAGCTATTGTTAGGCCTTCCTTGCTATTTAATTCGCATATCACGTGGGCCGTTCTTTTTAACCAAAACATTTCCTCTTCCTCGTTTAACTTATCATCACAGTATGTTTAGAAGTTATGTAACGTGGTCACACTACTGTAGTTCCTTGGTCGCTCAGTCGATCTTTGGCTTAACTTTTTAATTTTAATTTTCCTATATGATGAATAATATTATTGATCTGATAAATGAAATGAGTGATAATTTTTGTTTTTATGACTGATGTCGTTGACATTTACTACTTACACTGTTAAGTTTCAGAAAAGGAGCAGCTTGTCAATAGGCCTACAACTAGGCTATGGTCAATATATTATAACTCTTATATTCAGAACAATTAGTATTTAGTAGCCAGGTGTTCCTTTGTAGCAGAAGGGATTATAATATTGAACATTTTACTCAACCCATATTCAGTTTGCATTAGTTGGTCTCCACAGTGAGTACCCCATGCCTTACCAATTCAACATTAGGCATATTTATCACACAGGTGGCCGTAATATTCAGTGGTCGATCTGGGGAAGGTGGCTAGCCATCCCCCTTCGGTTACCGTGAAAAAAGGTAACTCGCCTTGTGTGTGTGCTTCTCGATTCTAATATTACATGTTACGTGTAGTATGCAAAACATACACTTTCTATTTTTATAAGCTTAACCTCTTTTCAGATGCCATCTAAGAGCGTCTAACCGTTTACTAATTCAAAAAAAAAATCTCCTTGCATTATCCACATTGCTAAATTCTAGATCCTCACTGTTATTGTACCCACAAGGATCACTTAATACCATAAGACCATGCACTTTCTATGTTGAAATCGCAGCTTGTATGGTGCCATGAACGAAATAATTATGGAATACACACAGGTTTTGGGTGCAAAATTCTATGGGTTCAGTATTATGTGTAAATCCATCCGTTTGTTTGATCCTAGATCCTAGACCATATATTCTACAATTCTGGTTTTCAAACTATGGTTCGAAACCCAAAATATGGTCGCCAAAATACTCTGTAGGGTCGCCGAACGATTATGTAAAATAAAATATGTTAGTATAATAATCAATTGAGCTCTAAGTCATCGTGATTCAGTGTTACAAATGTTTTCATCTTCGGGAACTAAATTAGCATTCTATTATTCTGTTATTATTATTATTAGTAGTAGTATTCATACCTGAAATGACACTCTTATACAGATAATAAAATTCAGCATCATCGATCAACTTAATCGCTGTGACGTTCCATTGGAAATAAAACTCGATTGTCTATGATGTACTTTTGATTTACTTTACCATGCGCCGAAAACCAACCTTATTATCATTATTATTACATATTTTTCTCATACTTCTCAAATTATAATAAAGGCACGCGCACTCGAGTCGTGTATTATAAATAATTCAGATGTTTGTGGGCAGAGAGTACCGGTTGTACAGCACACTTTCAATAAAACCTGGATCATTTATGCACTTCATTTCAATTTTCAGGCATCTTCTTGACTTACGAAATTATCACATTGCGGGCGAAAGGTAAGGGGACCAATCCCACCCCCTCAACAATATTTGGGGACGTGTACCCCTGTCTCCTCTTGATCATGGGTTTTGGGAGAGACATCCCCTTCCATTTGAGATTTTTTTGGAAGTAGGCGGATAGACTATTTTGGATGACATATGTTTTGGATGACTTATGTTTTACGAGAGTATAGCCTAGGGCCTACTGTAATGTAACATGTATACATGAGAAGCACACACACAAGACGAGTTACCACCCTTTTCATCCCTAGATCCGCCACTGTCCAACGTTCATCCAAGCACAGCAGCTAACTCGATACACCACTAAATCTCTTTCGCGAGGGGGAAGTCTGCATATTCATGTACCGTATATCAGTTCACCAAACTGACCTAAAATAGCACCCTCTATAGTTTCTGCTTTAACTGTATGGGAAAAAATAATGCGAGGCGGCACCCCGGAACCCCGGCTCCGGGGTACCGGTTTTTTCCCGGTATGGGAAAAAACACAATGCCTGTGGGTCGGACCAAAATCTTTGTCGGACCGGAGTTGGCCTGCGGGCCGGGGGTTGAATATCGGGGGGCTAAAATAATTAATAAATACCTAAAAAGGTCTAATATACTCTCTACACTATCCTAAACCTACCCTTCACTATTAGACAAGGTTTTATACACATCGCCGATACGCGGAGCCCTAATCCATCCACTGGCCTTCAATCATACAGTTCGGTTGATCACACGATTTTGGGCTTGCTGCTCATTCTTCTGCTATCTATATTCTTTGGCACAACGTAGATTTCGGCCAAAGTGTGTTCAAGATTCCAGGCGACAATTAAGAACTGAAAATTCTCGCATGCATAAATAACTACATATAAAAACAAATAATAAAAATAAAAATTTTTCATATACCTCTGACTGGCATATAACTAAGACCTCGTCTAGGCCTAGGAGCCCTGGCCTACCCACGGTCTTTTGTAGGCCTAGCCTAGTGTGAGTGACCGCTCTACTGTCATGCGAATGAAGTTAGACTTTTCCAGTGACAAATATTATGGTTTAACAGTGATTTCAAAGAAATTGGCCTACATCATTTAATAATATTGAAATCAAACTGTGAGCCCAAAGTAGTGTTTTTGATCTTCATTGTGGTAACAGTAGCTTTGTAGATGAGGCAAGGCAATTTCCTGAGTGGTCATCACTCTTTATTTTGACAATTGCATGTGTTTGTTCGGTGTTTAAAAGTTGGTTGTGGATGCCACTCGGAAGCTTTCAGACTAATACAGTAGAACCCATATTAAAGGGACACCTTCGGGACTAAAAAAAAGTGTCCCCTTAATAGTGGTGTCCCCTGAATAGTTAGTTACAGTAGAATTAATACTATTAACATTAATTTTCAAGGCAAATACAATTCATTTATAATATGAAATCAGCAGAAATGTAATGTTTTATATGTTCCCAATATTTTTTTAGATTGCAATATTAATGAATGAATTAGAATCCTATAAAATTGCACGAAAAACGAAGAAAAAGAAATCCCAATGGTTAAGGGTCAACATTGACAATATTGGTTTATACGAAATAACACATGCACTATACCTTACCGATATTCACCCTAACGATTTGAGGGGAGAAATTTCTGGTTTATTGCTCAAATTTTAATATTCAATTTTCAATTTAAATTTATTCAGAAAACCTCCGGAACAGAGAAGTAATGCAGTAAGCCTACAATAAGTTTTAAACACTAGAACAATTTCATTAAAAAGAATAAGTTATTTATACATATACCAGAATAATTTTTAAAAAATCCAAGAAAAAATTGGACAAATTATCAAAATATAGAATTCAATCGAATCAATAAGAGGAGAGAACAGAACACCACCTAAACAGATTAAGCTACTACCAAAAAAGACGGATTATTTTACTTCGTTCAAAATTCTTTTTTTTTTATTGTTTGAAAGTGGATTGTATTTTGTGTTGAAATCCGCTATCTTTCAGTGCTTTTTCGCATAGTCGGGAGCACAGACACCACATTCAAGACCCAAAATACGAATCATAAGCACACATTCAATGCATCGAAACAAAGAAACTGCACAAAACTTTAAAAGTTCATAAGGAATCTGAAAGACCGAAATACACAATACAATTGTAAGGTACAGTATTTTATTCAACAAAAACGAAACGGTGCAACTTAAAAGGGGGGGGGGGTGCGGGGATGAAACGATTGATTTTTAATTTAAAATAGAGGGATGGGCGACCACAATGATGGTGACGGCACTCGATTTTGGAGCGCGGTATTCGAAAACGAGGCTCGTGAACTGGGTCCCAAAAAAAAACTGGTGCTACAGGATTTGTTACCGATGGTGGATATGCTGATGTTTCTGTGTTACTTGGGCATGATGACCAACCAATAAGATTTTTCTCTGCTATTGACTGTGGAATGTTGCATGATGACATTAAGTGCCCTCTGCCATTGAGTAAAAAAGGTGAGTGTTTAATAATTTGATTAGTATTGAATCATGTTTTCTTTTTAAATTCCCCTCATGTTGAATTTACTTAATTATTAGTAAATGTAATCATTATCAGTATATTTTTATTCGTCATTGTCAAAAGTAAACAAATATGACAATAATACTGTAATACATTAATATAATCTAATAGTAATACAAATCTAATAAATAATAAGTGCTGTATTGTACTCTCATTGAGCGTTGCCTTCGAAATAGATCACGACGTTGATTCTACACTAAGTTCACTTATATCTAAAGACTCTTCTTTTTATTTCAGACTGGTTGTATGTAAAGGCAGTTTGTGACACCAGATTTTATTTGCCGGTAGGTGTAATTTGTTGCGCAAACTTAAGTTATTAAACTAATAAATATTATTCACGTTATATTTTATAAAACAGGGCCGGCGGAACGTTTTTCAAAGTGGTGGGGGGGGGGGCACTCATAAGATGAATGGGAATATGAATCATGCAGATCTGGTATCAAATCTAGGGGTACCGGGAAAATTTGGATTTCTAGATGGCGGGAAATGAATTTTCTTGACTTTTAAGCTAGGTGTCTAATGACTTTGTTCTTCAAAATTCAAGGTTTTCCCCCTCTTGAAAACGGTAAGGTAAACTTTCTCATTCTTATTACAGTAAATAAGCCTGATATGTGTGTAAACATACATAAACAAAAATAAGTAGTTGCCTAGGCCTACGTATTCTTTTATTCAATGAATCGATAATCTCCAAAGAAAAGGGGGTGCGGGGGTTCTCCCTCTGGAAAATTTTGATTCCTAGATGGGAGAAATGAGTTTTTCCGACTTCTGAGGTATCTTAATTACCTTTAAGTTCTTAAAAATTCAAGGTTTTCCCCTCATTGCTTTTGTATACATCATAAACATTTTTAAAAATGAGTAGTTACATACGACTTTTCCCACCATGAATCGAAAAATCCCAAAAAGAAGAGAGTGGGAGGGGGGGTCTGGGGTTCTCCCCCGAGAAAAGTTTGATTCTTTGAAGGCGGAAATTAGTTTTCCCGACTTTTGAGGTGTCTTTTAATTACTTTTAAGTTCTTTAAAATTCAAGGTTTCCCCCTCTTGAATATTATCATAATGAATCAATAAACCTAAAAATGAAAGGGAAGTTCAGGTTCTCCCCGGGAAAATGTTGATTTTTTAATGGTGGGAAATGAGCTTTCCCAACTTCTGAAATATCTTTTAGCGACATTAATTTAAGTTCTTTAAAATTCATGGTTTTCCCCTCTTGAAAACGGTCAGGTAAATTTATCCCA